GTGTGTGTGTGTGTGTGACACATGGGGCTGAGGTTTTGGGAAAGCTGACCTTATCCCAGTTCCAACTCTACTTCTCCATCTCTGTTTCCAAAAAAGAAAAGGTCACCATTCCCACTAAAAAAAGACACTCCCGACACTTTTAACAACTTCTGGGGAAAAACAACCAGGCTTCAGTGAATATACTACACACACATCTGATACAAATACTACCCACATTTCCACTGCAGAGTCTGCTAATATCAAGAGTTGTGAAGGTAACAGTGACCATGTGTTAAGGATATGGGAGCAGCGATTAGCCAGGAAATATCCACTCCCACAATAGCAGGCTGATGTATTAGGATGGGAAATGTCTTTATCAGTGTTACTAGATTATGTGGCTGATACTGCTGACACAGGGAAGGGAAGGAGCCGAGAGTCCTACCCACTGAGCAAGCAGTCCACACACGAGTAAGTGGCGATGCTTCGTATGGCGCCGTACAGATCTCACAAACAGCATCGAGGTGACTGGAGACTCTTAGCAAACTCAATCACATAATCTAGTAACGATAGACATCTCCCATCTCAGTACATCAGTCTGCTATGTCAGTCCTTTGATATTTTCATGTGTGCAAACAAATTAGAAACACCTCTCAATAATGCAGTCTAGTCATATTTCCTACAATGTCACCAAAAATAGATTAATATAATGTGAAAACTTCATGTTTAAAGTGCAATAGATCGTACAGATACCTAATAAAGTGTAATAGAGTGTATTTCAGACACATTTAAAATGCAACAGAGGATTTTCAAACTTTATTTAATATTCTAAATATTATTTTTCAGCAATATTGTCTTCTGTGTCCTGTAACGCAACAGTTTTTTTATATCCTTAAATACAATAAAGATTACAAACAGTCATGTGAAATTAAGTGTCACAAAGTGGACCCCTTGTGGCCTTCTGCTCAAAGACTATTAGACTGTAATCGTCCACTAAAAGCCCATTTATACAGGAATAAATTATTCACTTATGATTTATTAAGATATACAGGCACATATTGCATCCTGTAACAGTGACAGTAAGGTAAAGGCTTGGAAAATATAAAAACGGTGTGTCTTGCCACAACTAAATTGAAATAAATCTCTTGGCTAAAAGAAAAATGCCTCATGAGTGTGTATATATTCTCTCTCTCACACATTCACTCACTCCCACAGCTAAAACCTGACGCATTCTACACAATCTCTTTGGTACATGCAATAGCTTGCTACCCATGCTATTCCAGCTAACAGGGGGAAAAAAAAACCCGTACTTGTTTTCCCAAGTAAATATTGTTATGGAAAGCATTAAGACAGGAAACCCTCACCACTGACTCCCATAAAAAAATTAGGTTTTCAATTACAGCATTGTATGAAATGCTGCCTCTTAAAGTTGCCAAACCATAAGCATGTACTTTCAACAGAAATGTTTAGAAGATCAAACTTATATCTGCAATATGTCAAACAAGGGAAGCGCCAGAGGAACAAAGCGGGTTGTTGTTTCTAACAGAAGGAGGCAATAATTTAATCCGTTTTCTTTCCAGCAGTCAGCTTGTCGGCGTGGAGAGCGAAGGTCTCGGCCACTATCAGAGGGAAGACTAGAGAGGCGTCTGCATACACCTGGGAGCACAGAACAGAGCAGTGTATCACTTTTCTGGTATGTTACGCACTGACCACATTTAACTCAGTCCCTGCGTTTCATGTTTATGTTTTGGCGCTTTTGTGCCACACTGCACCCTCGGACCAAACACTGTGCACACACTGCCACCTTGAGGCCGAAGCGGACGACACAGCCTCCTGGTGAACACTGATTTATTTTCCAAACAGTGGACAATGACAAGCAAAAAATAAATGCAGGAAATCGATGATAACCCCTCTTTCTGGACCACATTTGTTGTTCAATGGAGTAGTCTTATAGTCTGTCACACTGGCATAATGCTGTCTCTGAGTCACTGCATGTTTAATGAGATTGGATACAAGTTTTCAACTAAAACATCAACAGTTAATGCTGCCTGATACCATAAAAGAGCAAAGAAAAATCCACATCTGAAAACACTTGAGGTGTATTATCTATGGGCTGTAAAAGGCATCTGGAAAATATGTGAACTAACTCAGTGAAGTCTCAAAATATCTCCTTATAAAGGGGAATCTGAGCATATAATTGTAATAAATAGAACATAATGTTGACATTAGTCTTGGTCTGGTCATGGCTAATATTGCTGGGATGCATATCGGTACCTTAACGGGTTTAGCATCTGTTCTGATCTTGCCCCAGGATATGGCCTCATCAGGTCTGGCTCCAGAGTCAGAGCCATCGAACTCCTGACCCGTGTTCACAAACACTGCGTAGTCAGCTCCATTCCTCTGGAGAGTGACAGAGAGAGAAACGGTGCGCTTGTTGTTATGTTGATTAAGCAAATACAATAAAGGCTTTTTAATATATTCCTTCTTCGTTGCCTCGATTGCTTTTTTATTCATACATTTCTTTTCCCTGTTTCCAGGAGCACCTATTCTGATCTAAGATTTAGTATTTTGAGCAAGCAATCATCTTTTTCCTGATACCTTCCTGACACCTTAGTACACAGAAAATTCAGAAAAACATCCCATGTGACTATTATATGTATTAATTATATTAAAGAAGCATCAATGTGTAAGTAGACTTTTACATATTTTAACTATTTTAGCTACTAGTAGTTGAATCTATGCATCTTATTTTATACACTCATCATATTACATCATCGTAGAAGTTAATCTGTAAAGTAACAAAAGCTGTCAAATCTGAATTGTTGTGGAATATGAGTGTGAAGTAACATGACATGGAAATAAATATCTCACAATCACACCATTTATGACATTCTACCACTGATTGCTAATTTCTCAAAACTTTGCAGAATTGTACACAAAACCTGATGTGAAGTCAAGTAATAGAAGGTAGGAAATAACCATAAGAAGATAAGATAAGTTACCATAAGATTAGCATTGGCTATATGATGTTTGACCAGCCCTCCTCCCAGGATGATCATCCCCGTCCTTTTGGCAAACACCGCCTGGCTGTTCACCCTGCGAATGTCTGAAATAAAGCTCACAGTCATGATATGACAAACAGATAACGTTGAGACAGCTGTGCTGACCTTGTTCTGTGGCAGTAACTTTGCTTTTACCTTCCACTATGTCCAAAACCAAGCCGGGGTTCTTGAAAGAGTGAAAGTAGATCATGTCGCCCAGAGAGCCGTCTGTCAGAGCAGGACTGAACACTGGAATGTTATTCTGATACAGAAGATAAACAACAATTTAAAAAATTCATTCATAATATTATTTTAGAATTTTTAAAATGAGGAATTGTATTATGGTTGAAAATAAACTGACTTTAGACCTGATTTCTAACTTATCTTAACCGACACAAACTTACTGATTAAGACTTTAAAAACAAGAGTAAACCATTTTTGCTGCAACTTGTCTCTACTGACTTTTAAGCAATTAAATGGTTTAGGTTTCCTGGTATTTTTAGTTTCTTTATAATGTAATAGATTACCTATATCAACCAGGTTCTCACCTTGTACGCCCAATAGTAGACAGACTCAGTATTATTGATCTCTTTGCCAAGTCGGTGGATCATTTTCGAGGGAGTCCAACGGGTGCCCTGAAGGACAGAAAGTAAAAAAAAATAAATAAAGTGTACGATGTAGACGATATTACAGGCCATCTTCACTGCACAACTGTGTGGAATACACCAGATTAACAAGCACTGGTACTTCACCCGTTGCTAGGTGCAATAAACAAACAATATCCTTATCATTCAGAGACCCACCTCTGTGTTCTGCTCCAACAACATCTGGTCCAGGATGGGCATCAGCCAGTCTTCAAACTTACAGTAGTTGTCATTGGGCACCAACAGATTCCCAATCCTACATCCAGCAAGGACAGAGGAGACTGAAATGTTTTACATACATACATACATACAT